AGGGAGCTGCTTTGAGAAATGGCAAAATCTATCTGGATGCCAGGGAGGCCCCATAGAGCAAACAGGAAGAAAAAACAAGGAGCTTCATTATCTCTAGAAGTAGAGCCCATATAATTTTCTGGTCAGCTTTTTTTTCATTTATACAAGAACTGGGGTACAAGGCAGAGGTGTGGAAGGGTGAGAGAATTCACCAGAGACAGAGCAGGGAGCAGAACAGGAAAAACGACCTAAAACACTGCTGAGGGGAGCAGCGGGCGAGACAGGAGAGGTCTGCCATGCCATGTGGGAATCTCCCCGGCTGGCAGGGAACCGAACCCATGCTGCAAAGGCTGTGGACAGCTTCACAGCGCTGCGCTCAACCCGCTGTGCCACCGGGATGGCCCCCTGGTCAGTTTCTACTGTGTACTAGTTAAAGTAATGCCAGGTATATTACTGCTATATCCCATTGTTGCTGTCAAATCACCCCAACCTTAGTGATTAAAACAACTCAGCTATTATCTCACACGTCTTGAAGTCAAAAGTCCAAACTCAGTTTCCCTGGCTTAGGGAGCTGGCAGGGCTGGGTCTTTCAGGAGTCTTCAGGAGACACTTTGCTTCTTTGCTTTTGCTAGCTTCCAGAGGTTGCTCACATTCCTTGGCTTGTGGCCCCTCCTCCATCTTGCTAGTAAGTCAGCGCCACATCTGCTTCTGTCACCATGTCATCTTCTCTTCCACTCCTTGCCAAACCCCTGATGACACTGGCCCACCTGAATAATCCTCAGGGGCCACTATTTAGTCTACCACCCTAGCTAATCAAGAGGTTGTCACTTCCTGTCAATACTGAGCAACACTCATCATGCAAATACTAGAGCTTTGACCTCTGGGCCCATGGGCTGGTGAAGATGTGCATGGGACACAAGAGACCCTCTGGCTAGGGGCACTTACGTATGGTTGATAGGACAACTCAAGGCTCTGTCCCCAGATATTGCTGGGTCAGAGACATGGTTATAAATGATATGAAAGCCAAGAGGATGAGAAACACACCCTTGTGCTCATGGGGAGCCTCCTCCAGATTTGTCGCCAGGGGGTGAAGGCAGACAGCAAGCTGGGGATGTGCCTACGGCTCTGAACAAGAGGACTGGAGACTTATTCAGGGAAGACTGCTTCATAACGTTCCTCCTGCTAGGAGATCAGCTTGCTTAAAGCATTAAACTTCCTGGACACATTTGACAGGGTTTTGTCCCCAAACCTGCACCCTGGGCACTTTGCCTTCTATCCTGTTCAGAGAACCCCATGAAAGGCGACACCAGCCATCTAGGCTGTAGCAGAGCTTGGCGGGTGGCGACCAGGACAGGCCGGACAGGACACAGCTCCGGTGTCTCTCCCACTGGCCTTTTACAGCCCGCCACTTCCCTCTCTAATCCCTGGCAACCACCAGTCTGCTCTGCCTGTCTCCAAGTTTGCATTTCAAGAACGCCATGTGAGTGGAAGCAGACTGTCCATGACGGTCAGGACCGGGTCCTTTCACCCAGCATAATTCTCTGGAGACACAGGTCTTCATGCGCATCAGCAGTTCATTCTCTTTTATTGCTGAGAAGCATCCTGTGGGCTGATGGGCCACAGTTGGTTTGCCTGTTCACCTGCAGAAGATCATCTGGATGGTTCCTAGCTTGGGGCCATTATATATAGTATAAACATTCACAAACAGGGTTTTGAGTGTCTGGAGGTTTTTGTTTCTCTGGGATGAATGCCCAAGAGTGCCGTTTGTGGGTCCCTGGGGAGGTACAGACTTATCTTTCTAGGAAACTGCCAAACCGCTCTGCTCTGCAGAGAAGCTGTGCCATATGACATTCCCACCAGCAAATTATAAGGGGTTCTGTTTCCCCACATCCCCTCCAGCACCTGGTGCTGCTTTGTTTTGTTTCAGTCATGAACTCATGAATTTAATGATGTAATTTCAACCCACTGACATTACCATTCTTGTTGATGTTCATCTCATGTCTAGTTAGAAGGAGCTTCTTCAAAGTCTTTTTACAGGGCTCCAGGTGTCTCTGCCAGTCCCCTGGATGTCTGGTATGAAAATATACTCCAGTTTCATCTTAGACATTTTCTGCCCTAAATCTGGAATCAGATATCCTCTAGGGAGCTCTGGATCCTTTTGGTAGGAAAGTCATCTAGAGAACACAATTTGGGCACTTGGGGTGCTCACTAGCTATTGTTGTTTTAGGGCTGTTTCAGTAAACCAAGCCATAAAATTGTGTGTGTGTACAAGAGATATATATCATAAGTTCAAATTGGTATTTCCATATCAAAATCAGAACTAAAGAGTTTTAATCTCTTTGGTCTTATAAATGCAACTTTTCCTGATGTCAAAAACATAGTTCCCAACGACGTCAGCATAATTACTCATCTACTTTTTCCAGCAATAAACATGTCTCAATAAAAATGTAACCTCACAAAACACACCAGTTTCACAAACAAAAATTACTGAAAATTATTTCATCAATCATTCATTCATTGCTACTTTTTGTCCTTAGGGATACATAGTGAAATTCCTACATTTTAATTCCTTTAAGTGTATCAATGTCGCCAACTTATGGTTATGTTAATCTCCTTCAATTTGCTTTAAATCTGTAGGAATTAAAAATTTAATGTTAATATTGGTAATGATCATGTAATTCTAAAGCCAAATCTAGAAAGCAAATTACATTTGGAGACGTTTGTCTTCTAACTCTGTTCCCTATATATCATTCTTTCTCTCCCCATATAGGTCCTAACTTAATGCTTTATTTATTTATTGGTTTACGCTTCCATCTAAAATAAATATGCAAATTATCTCTGTACCTATCTCTCTCCTCCTTCTACAAATAATTGGTAGCACAGTATTCATGTCTCTAGCTTGTGCCTTTTACTTACAGTTTGAGGACTGCCGGGTGCACGGATATTCTTAATTCCTTTATATAGCTCCGCTGTGGGTGTCCCTACTTTATGCAAATGATCCCCTGTGGATGGAAATCAAATGTGTTTTGTTTTGAATGGAGTTTCTTCAATGAGCAACTCTGTTACATTGCTAACCAAATCTCCAAGGTCCTATCTCCTCATTCACAAGTGACTTTTTAACTCTGTATCCCTAGTTGCAGTAGCTTTTTTCATACAAGAGCTGTATTTCTACACACTTCTCTGAGTTAGTTCCTGGGTAGCAAATATCCCTGATAACGCATTAAACTAGGGTTTTAATCCCAAAGATACTTCACAAGCAGTTTTCCCAAAGGGGAGTAGGGAGCTACCGGACAGGTTCAGAGCATCTGTTTAGGAGGGTGAGGTTTGACAGATGGTGGTGAGGGCTGCATAGTGAGGATGTTCTTAATGCCATTAATTGCATGCTTAAATCACTCCAGTGATAAATTTTATGTGATATATATTTGATCTCAATAAAAAAAGAATATGTATGATCTATGGGAAACAAAAGAATTTACTGAAAAGTAGCAATAAAGGTATTTTTAGCAGCAGAAAGATTGCTTCAGTTGCTTCAGTCATTTTCTAATTCTTGTGTTGATTGGGTTTAATGCATACTTTAATATTTATATACCTCAGAAACATAGGACTATATAACATATGCTTTTTTTATGTATTCAATAATGCATGACTATCAAATGGAAGGCAGCCGTGCTCACCACTCATCCACAATGCCTCTTACATGACAAGTGAATATAATGCCAAATGTTTTTTTTAACATGAAAATCCATTTTCTCCAAAAAACTACTATTTGAATGTCTAACTTTACCTGCAAATTAAAATGTTATACCTAAAGAAAATGAGTTTTTTAACTGATATGAATGCATTTCATTGCAGGTTGAGTGGTTGTAACAATGAGAGCTGGTCTAAGCATTTGTAAAAATAATTCTCCATGTTTAATGATGAGATTATTAAAGTCAGCCCTTCCTAGACTGATAAATTTATCTTATTTCAGGTGACTTGAATTTTATGGCCAAGTGAGGCATTTATGAGTAGGAAATCCAGCTCAGTGACAAAGGAGACCAACACTCCTACCCATCCATGCTGATGGTAGAGACAAGACTTATGAACCGGCTGACAATGTCAGACTCAGGACAAAACTGCGTGGAGAATTTTCTCAAGTCCTAAGTCTGCACTGACCAACGAAAGGCCATCTAGTCTTGGTAAGTTGTCATCACACGTCACCAGCTATTTGTTCTCAGTGACACTACCTCCATCAGCAAGAGTCTCATGGTTGATATACAAAGAATGTTTCAAAGCCACAAAGCATCCTCCTGGGCATCTGGGTGCTGGGGATGTACAAGAATCCTATTTTCTTTTCTCAACTGGTAATGTTAAAAGACAGCCTGTAAAGCCTCTCAGGAAAACCAGCCATTATATTTCTGGAGGAAAGAGTCTTCTTCCTTCTATCACTGGAGCCACATGGGGCTGCGAGACCATGGACTGACTCACTGCCATGTCACCAGAGGGAGGACCGGTACATGCATTCTGTCTCTTGACCAGGGTTCAGTGCTGGTGACATCATGTGGCCTAGGAGCGTGTGCATACGTGGCTGCTGGCGTGTTGCTAGTCTAAGCAGTCACCTTGTCCCAGAGCTATCATCTCGCAAGCGAGCCAGGGAGATGGTCAGGATGGAAGTCTTGATTAGTTGAAGAGGAGCGGTCAAAGGTAATAAGATGACTACAGTAGGCAGGCAGAACTGGTAAAAACCCAGAGCAAGACCGCCGTGCAACAAAGTGTCCAAGTCTTTGGGCAGAAGGAACCCTAGACCTGCCTATTAAGATCTGAATGTAGAAACCTACACAAAGGCTGAGAAACTGACTCCCAGGTACCCAGCCTTAGCGTTAACAATCCCCAGCGATGGGTCCATCTTGTTTCCTCTACTCATTCTCAACTATTTTAAAGCAAATTTCATAAACCATGTCATTTCACCTCCCAAGTATTTCAATATTCTGCTCCTCTTAAGGTGGTTAAACAATAAATACCCAATATTCACTACCAGGAAATCAGCAATGTTATTTTTAATACAGTTGTGGTACAGAATGTTTAATTACAGCAGGGCAGAGGTTCTAGTTAAATAAAATTAAAAACCTTTATTTTCCCCAATATAAAATTACTTAATTAATGTCTCCAAAGAAAATATAACATGGTGAAGGCTGTGAAGGACACCACTATTCACCACAGGATTTATGATTTACCAATTACATACTCTACCACTTTGGCAAAAGGATGAAAATTTTAAAACAGTTTATAAACCCAACATAGCAAAGACTGTATACATCTCCATATTGCACGTTTTATGTACAAGAATAAAACAGTGAATCGAGTGTGTCGCAGAGACTACGAACAGCACAAATCTGTCACAATTAAACTTAATGCAGAAGCTGATGTGAGTATTAAAAATGTAGAAATGTGACACATATGTACAGAGGGCTGAGACTTTATTAACAAACTCTATGTACATCACTGTATACTGCACTACTTGAAAAGTTTTAGCATAGTTGTTTATTAATACAGGCCTTTGGTTCTAAACTGTTTGACTAGTTTGAAGCTCACCTATGTTTCTTCCACTTTCATATATTTTAAATGCAAGTAAATGAGTATAAAAGCACTTAACCTCCTGGTTCACTGGTACAAAAATTACAATGGTCAGTTCCCTTAGATCATCAAAAACTAGTCACAAAAATAGTTCTTGTATTCAACCTGAATGTGCCACAGGAAAAAAAAATATTTTCAAGGTTTTCCAGCTCAGCCTAGAGGCAAAAGGTCACCCCAGGCTCAATTTCAGTGCTACGATCCCTGCTATGTACATCCCAGAACATTTGTTGACTCGAGGCCATTTACTGTAATACTACTCTGTAAAGAAGAATAAAATTTAACTGCAGCCTTAGTGTCCACCACATGCTTCTGTTAAGACAGCATGAAAAATTTGAATATTGCCAGTGAGATTTAAAAAAATATGTGCACCCTCTTAGGACTCTTCTAGAAAATCTGCTACGAAATAACCCAGTTCTTTATTCCCTTTCTCTCCCACACCCCTTGACGGCCCGGTCTGCTGCTTGGTCTTCCCCGTGTCTTGCACGAGCCAGTGATGAGCTCTGGAAATCAACCTGAGTTTGCAAATGACAAAGCATCCCCCACATCCAGTCCATGAGGTGACATCACACGACCGAGGAGGAGCTGGTCATTCCATGCACCATGGTGCTGGTCGGAGTCCCACTGATGGCGTTGAAGATGTGAAGGGAGTTCGGTAACACGCTGGTCTTCTCCTCCAGGGGGCAAATCTTGAGGCACAGAAACACAACATTACCCAAAAGGAAGGCCCTAAACAAACACTTCTCACACTGGTGCCTTTGGTGAAACACACACCACGCATCAGCCCGCGCACAGTGTGGCTGGCGCTGTTCTCACAGTGTGGCACTGGCCAGGTGTGCAGAGGGATTATGTCAGTGCCTCTAGTAAATTCCATTTGCAGATCAGGATTATAAGGAGAAAATCAAGAACATGCTCTGTTTCTTTTACAAATTAGTGAGTGGAGAAACTTCTAGACTCACCAAATCATAAGGTGACTCTGAGTTTATCTTGCAGGTACTAGATGGGGACATACCTAGTCTTGCCCCATGGGAAAGTCTTTAAAAGTGAATAAGGGGCGATGTGTTTCTCTACTGGCTCCTTTTCTTAGGGGCTTATAGATTTTCATCCAGAGAAAGAGGTAGTGGCTGGCCTTCTGCCCTGACTAGGATATTCTCACACTCCGTCGTGCAGGCAGGAATTCTAGTGCCAGACTTGTGCTCTAGCCAGGTGGAAACTCAAAAAGAATAAAACACAACTCAGAGGCTTCCCTGGAAAAACCAAAGCAAGTCTCAGGGCCATAACCCTTTGTGCTTAAAGGGTCAAAGGAGGTCAATCTGCAGTTGTTGAGATAATGCAGAGTTCAAGGTGCAGCACAGAACACAGAACTGCATGAAATGTCCATACCATCTGGGCGGCTGCTAATATTCTCAGCCCATAATTTCTTTTTATCTTTTACCTTTTGCCAAATGTCGGCACACCCCAACCAAGCCCCCTTCTGTAGGAATCTTTAGGCCTGTGGAAAAGACCTTGAGCTTTCTCCAAGTAGTTGTTCCGTGAGACCTTCCTTCCCTTTCAGCTTAATCATTCACACATTTATTTCTTTAATTATTTTAATTTTTTCCTACTTTTCTAAATGCCCAGAAAAGGGCTGATGTCTTTTGCACATGCCTGGCCAACGTGCTAATGCCTGCAGTTGCCAGACTCAGAATAACTTTGTGAGTCAGTTCAGTAAAGGAAAATTAAAAAAATGACATTACCATTCCATCTGAACATGTTAGCATGGAGAGGAGAAAAAAAAAACACATGCATGTTAAAGCTTGGCCATTTCATTTCGTTTCCTGAAATACAAATTTCCTAACGAATTATCACTTGATAATGCAATTGGCACAAAGGGTCCTGGCTTCCACTTTGCGAGACTGAAAGACAATAATGCAGGGAACAGATAAAAGCAGTGTGTGCCATCACAGGGCCATCACTGATGGTCAAGACCAGCACTGGCCCCGCAGAGTCTCTGTGGGTGCTGGGGAATGGACACCTCCCAAAGTGCCTATGTAGAGGCTGCTCCTTGACAGCCACTTGGTTCCCTGGCAGCTTTCTCCTCGGATGGCCACTGAACCCGATACTTAATCCTACTAGAAGGAATTCAGGCAGGAAGGGGAAACTAGCACTGTAATGAGGAAAGACGCCCATAATGACAAAGAAAGAAGAAACACCATGAAGAATGCTCGGGGCTATCTGGGTCAAGCTGCAACTAGTCAACAATTGGACAATCCTATTTTTTTGAATGTCGAAGAACATTTAATCCAACGGATAATGCCAGGTAAATCCTGCTCCTGCGAAGGATTGGGTACATCCAACAAATTCTAGGAAGAGTATGGGTGTTTTGTCTCAGGTTTTTCGTTCATTTGTTCCTTTGAACTAGACTGGGATGGGGAAGGAGGAAGCTTAGGAAGTGCATCGCTGCTAAAAAGCAACGGAGAGAAGGTGGGTGCTGTTGTCCTTGGATAACTTGTTATTATCTAACAAGTGAGCAAGCTGTTAGCTGGTCCCCAGGCCACCTGTGGTTGGAGGGGGCAGCACATAGAGGCTATGGCACGGTGCTCAGCTATCAACATTCTGGAAGGATGTCAGAGGTTCAGGCCACCACGGGGTGACCTTGAGACCCCCACAAAAGTATGCTTCCTAGAAATGAGAAGGAGAGTAGGTTGCCAGAGCCAGGGTGGCCCCTACCTGCTCGTGCATGATCTCAGAAAGCTCCTTTGCCATTTCCCTGTAGTTGGCCTTCATTTCTTCCTGATATTCTAGCTGGTCTTCTTTAATCAGACGTTCATTGACGGCTAAGGCTTGACCGCAAGCCTCCACGAATTGCCTGCAAAGGTGTGGGAGAGAGAAATAAAGGCACATCAAGGACAAGGAGTGACGGTCCCGTCTCTTTCTTGAACAAGCATACAAATGATCAATTAATACTGGAGAAAAGGACCTCCTTGGGGTGCTTTACCTGAAAACTTCTTTGAGTAACTTCACTTTGTTGTCAGGATACCTTTTCGTGTTTGTGTCATCTAAGAAAGCCCGGGCATAGGCGAGGGGACCAGCGTTGACCTGCATGCGGAATGAAGAGTTGAAAGGACATTAGGAAGGAAACAGCCAGTCTCGTGGATGGAGGTTTAGTGGACTAGTGCTAAACATGCTATCAGAGGTAGGCATGACCCCTGCTCTCCAGGAACTGACGACCCCAAAGATGAAACTAAAAAAAGCTTGTGCTGTTATTTGGCAGGGACTGGCCCATCTGGGCTACCCTCCGGGCACTCATGAGCCTGGGTCGTCACATGTAGGAAAAGCCCATGATTGGAAAATGCCAGGACTTGCTCGAGGCCAAAGAGTCACCATTGGTGCGGAGATGGCTGTGTTTCTGATCCACGGTGAGTAGGTTGTGCATAGCAAGGACAGGGCAGGGCTGTGAGAGTCTACACCAAGAGGGCCACAGTGGCGAGAGCCACTGTGTGTGACTGGATATGTGTGGGGAATGTACTAATACCCTGAGGACGGACGATCCAGTGACTGATCATCCAAAATCATGCAATATATTCAATTTGAAGAAGATACAAAGAGGGCCTCCCCTAGTGGCGCAGGCAGTTGAGCGCCGCGCTGTGAAGCTGTCCGCGGCCTCTGCAGCTCCGGTTTGATCCCGACCTAGAGGCGAGGGTCCCGCATGGAGCAGCAGACCTCTCCTGCCTCGCCCGCTGCTCCCCTCAGCAGTGTGTTTCAGTCAGTCTGCCTGTTCTGTTCCCCGCTCTGTCTCTGGTGGATCCTCTCACCCTCCTGCGCATCTGGCCTGTACCCCAGCTCTTGTATAAATGAATAAATAAATCTTTAAAAAAAATAAAGATATTTACTATAGAACAAAAAAAGATTGGAAATAAATAGGTTTTCTATTAAAAAAAAAGAGAAGATGCAAAGAGAAAAGCTGGTGCCCCCTCCCTCCCAAGGACAAAGATGACACAATCACCTAATGGAGAAACCCTTGGGGAGGCTCTTGGTGGAAGAATTATAGAAACACCCAAGTAAATTGATCAAGTTGCTTTCTGCTGGCTCCAACTTAGTTATTACCTTGGTGACCTCACGTGAGAGAACATAATCTCATCTCATCAAGGAATTCTTTGCTTTTTAAGATGACTGGGCATTGGTGAAATTCTAAGGTCGCTGTCAAATGGCCGGGCACATTTTGCCCTTTAGCAAGCTCCACCTGCTCAGCCCCACCCTTTCTGCGTACCCACACCCCGAGACTGTTTCTCCATAGAGACTGGAGGTTCCTGGTCAGGTTATTGATTGCCTTTGTTTTTAGCTGCAGAAGCTGTGGCCTCTGGCCCCGATAAGTAATCACTCACGTTGCCAGAATATCTATGACATTCACTTGATAGCTTATTTTGGCACAGCAGTCTTTTGGATCATAAAGGAAGAGGCTGAAAACATCTTGTAAATCTTTTTGTGGTGAATGACATTTAGGAAAATGTTAGGCAATGACTCAGAGTGGATCTGACAAAAAGGTGCAAAAACTGAAGGCAGAAAATAAACCAAGAAAACCCCAGCATCTGTGTACTACAATCTACATGCAACTTTCTCAAACGTACATTTTTTTAAAGAGAAAAAGAATTGGACATATGCACACATACTTATGTACAAGCGTAAATACATGTGGTATTGAGATATATAAAAATGTACATATGTATGCAAATACATATGCAAAAGGCATGTGAAAATTATTGATAAACACTTAAAAACATCAATAAATCAAGAAGAACATTGGTTCGTGGAGGGAGGGAATCTATCATTTACCTGTTTCCTAGGAAGCCATGTAAGAAACTTAGGAAAATATAGCAAAATGTCTTTGAAACATGTAAGAGCAGATTTCTTATAGAGGACACAGAAAATGCTGGCAGCAAAGGGAAAAACTGATCCATTGGGTAATATTCAAATGAAGAATTTTGAAACAAAGGATAACCTGGAAAAGTCCTGTCAATAAATTTAAACCACAGCCTTCATAATGTTCATCCATGTGCTCACCATAATCATTTGTTCAACAATAAAGGATTAATAATAATAATTTGTTCAATAATAAAGGATTAATAATAAAACACAAATAAAATAAAGGGTTTCTGTAGATCAAAATATAATATTAAGAGAGTGAATCCCAAGGTGCTTTTTCAGATACACTTGTCCCAGAAAGCAGAAGACATGTTTTCTAAGAAAACCTACAGCTGTCCACACAGCCTTCTAGTTACAAGTCCTGATGCTTCAAGAAGGTACCTAGAATTTCCCAACTTCCCGAACAGCTGGGAGACTATGGACACCTGTCTCCTGCCCCAAGTGGACCCCCTAGGGACAGTAGGGGTGGGTGGGGCTGCCCAGCTGCCCCCTCTCTGGTGTCAGGAGAAACTGCACAGACTCGGGTAAGGTAATGGGGTGTCCTGGCTGTCCGCTCACCTGAACACTCACGCTGCCCTGGAGTTTGAGCTGGAGTTTGATCATGTCCACCTCGGCCGAGGAGCACAGCTGCCGGAGCTCGGCCACCTTCTTGCTCATCTCGTCGATGGCTACCTCGATGGGGTTCAGGTCGGTGTGATGTTGGTACATGACGGGGATCCTCTTCTTCACGTATGGGAAACAGTGTATAGCTGCGGAAGAACCGGCCCCAGCGTCAGTCCATGGTTGGCATCATTCTTTATTTTTCTTTATTTTATTGAGAAGTACTATTCCCATCTTACAGCTGCAGAAGTCAAAGCTTGCCCAAGTCATGTGCCAGTTTCCTCAAGACAGAAAACCGACCTCCTCTATCTAGGCGTGTGCTGAATGGCAGGCTGTGGCATCGAAAGTCAAGTGAGTTGGGTCCCTGCTAACCTTTCAGGTCTGAATCCTGCCTTTGACGGGATCACTTTTTCATCCCCTGCTCCACTTTCTCATCTACGGATGCCCTGCTTTCCTTGGAAGTTGTGATATAAAAGAATAAGCAGGGGTAAGATGGATTTGGACATATTTAAGAAACTAAAGCATTTCGAGATGTCACATCACAGATTAGGGCCAGAAGGTAGTTCCGTAAAAATATCCCTGGGAAATTCATTTTTCTCCATTGAACAACTTTGAGTCACGTGCTTAAATGTACAGAAATCAGAGAAGGCAACGAGAAATAACAAGTATGATCTAATCAATATTGTTTTGATTTATCACCGTAAGAAACCTGAACCTATCAATACCAAAGACTTATAAAAATGAACAGAAAAACAGTTCTAATTTGGATCTGTTTCACACTTAAAGACCTGTAATATTCTCAATTAACATATATTTACTAACAGACATGTAGATCTACGCTGAAAAGCTTACTTTACTTTTTAACAAGCAGAAGCAAGGTGGGAGTGTTATGTTTGCATTCATTACTGGCTAGCAAGTGGCTGGGAGGGTTCACTCCAAACGGGTTCATCACAAAACGCAAACCAACACCAGCTCCCAGTGCAACACGGTCCAAGGGGCCTACAAAAGCCTCAGGAAGCTGGAGACCATCACCCTCTTGCACACCCCCCGGCCTGTTCTGGCCTCTACATGTTCGATCCATCAAAGGCCAAGGCTCTGTATCTCTATCGTCTGTGTTTCTTGCAGACACAGCTTTCAGCTGTAGCTCGATCAATCCAGGATTTGTTATTTATAAGAGGATCCAAGGCTCCTTGGACAGTACAACAGGAACTGGGCCTTGCTGCTTCCCAACCAGGGGGTGGGAGGCGGCCACCAGCCACCTGGATGGTCAAGCACCTGGGTGTGGACCGCCCTGGGCTCACGGAGGCCTAGGAGCCCAGGTGTGGGCCACAGCCAGGTCAACATGCCCACAGAGCCTTCATAGTCATTTTGAGGACCACATGTGGCTGCAACATTATTTCAGTGTGATGTCTGTGGGATATCCATGGAAGGTACCCCCAGTACTCAGCCTCCTATGACAGTAATCGGAGCCTGGGAGAGGCAAAGGACATGACCTTGGGAACCCTCAGCCAGTGCCGTGTCTGCCAGGCCCCTGTGTCTGCCGCCCGCCTGCTGCTCTGGCCTCTCCTCCCCTTTCTCAGGCTCACCCAACTCTAGGCCTGGCTGACTGGTTGTTCCCTGAGTGCTCTGGACAAGGAGTTCCCCAGCCCCACCCACCTTGGTCTTAGCCCTGTTGGGATACAAAGGAAATTATTCTGTACCCCTGAGTTCTTCTTGGACCAGACGACTAATAAAACAGCATTAAATGAATGAGCAAAGGAAAAAGAATCCATGAATCATACATGTGGAGAATTTACAGGATTGTAAATTCTAAAGAATAATGGCGCCAATCACGTCCTTCTATTATGGGACTTGAGGTTCAAGGAGTGAGGAAGAGACGTCACGTGACAGATGTACTTGTATGGTACAGATGAGATTCTTACAGATGACCTGTTCACGCACAAACCTACAACTGGGTGAGACCCTCCAAACTACCTCTGATCTTTGAATCGGGAGGTAGAAGAATATAAGTGAGAAGTTTCTCCCAGACTTCAGGCACTCACTGTTCTCAGCCCCCAGCAACTGGCACTCTTTAAGTTGGGGTAATAGGCCTTCTTGGGCTCCATGGGTCTTAGCTGGCCTCCAGCACCCACTGCAAGGTGTGGGCATGCCCAGGCCACACCTGACCTTGTGGGGCAGCAACCCACCGTCTGCCGCTCCCAGCCCCTCACCTCACTCACGTCTGGACTCAGTACCACCTCCTCAGCGAGCTCTACCCCAGCGACCCCACTGAAACTGCAAACTTCCTCTCAAATTCACACTTCCAGTCTCCTTTGCTTCTGCCCGGAACACATATCACCTGCCAGGAACTGCTTCTTGCCTGTGAGCGGCACAGCCCAGGCAGCTCTGTGAGTGCGCCAAGCTGAACACGGCTCGAGCTCGAGATATCCGGGCGAATGAATGAAGAGATCGCTGCCCGCCGGGTCAACGGAAGAGCAAACTGGCCTGGGGAGGACAGACTAGGTGACGACCGAGGGAGCCGCAGTGGCGCTATCGACGCCGCAGAGGGACGTGCAGCCTCAGGAGGAAGACGGGTAGAGGATGAGGCGGGCGGGCGGCAGGGACTGCTGAGAATGCACAGAGGGCAGGCTGCCCTCCCACCGAGGGGCGAGGGGCGTCTGGGTATGACCTGGGAGACTCTGGAGCAGGGACAAGGAAGAAACTCCACGGCAGGAATTCCAGGAGAGGGCAGAGGAGGCGGATGCAGCAGCGACACAGGAGGGGTGACACAGACATGCGCCAGGAGGGGAGAAATGGTTTTTTCAAATGATCCCACAACTGCAGATCGCTGCTGCATGCAGGAAAGTAGATCTTTGACAGGTTCAGAGGCAGGGAGGGCTGGGGCCACAGCTCAAAAGGCCAAAGGTCAGGCCGGAAGCTAGCAGAGGAGGCAGAATCTAAGGAGTGAATAACATAAGGGCAAGCTCTCAAGTTCAAAGTCTTTGGAATATCCTCCTGGGGTGTCTTGAATGTGAGGCTGATAGAGAGCTGACATGTTTCAGTAGTGTTTTTATAATCTCTTCTCTGGCACTTGATGCTACCCGGTGACTAGCTTTTTCATTTGACCTTTCAGGGCAAAACCGCACCCCTGTTTGTGTGTTTCCTTGGACTATAATCTCCTCTGCTTATCATTCACCTCGGGGTCAAGGAGTGTCATGGTGGCCGAGATTCAGCAAAATAAAGTCCCTTCTTTCCTTTCTTGGGTATGATTTACAAAGTTCTGGGGCACTGGATGGGTAGTGTCGCTCTCATTTTACAGATGAAGAAACTAAGGCACAGAGAGGTTAAGCAACCTGCCCAAGGTCACACAGCAAGGAGGGCGCAGGCTCTGCAGTGCCTGTGGCTTCTCAGCCTTATAGCTGTGCCAGGTCAGGAAGGGGTTCAGAATTGGCTTCCCCAAAGGTGCCCCAGGGATTGTTTAAGCCAAAGGCAACAAAGGCCTGAAACTCAGAAAGAGCCTTTTACTGCTCTTCCCCTTAACCACCTAAAAGACATTTTGACAGATGGCCTGATCCAGGAGTCAGGGGTCACTGGGAGTTCTTTCCAGGGGACAGAGCTATGTGTGCTGGAGCCACTTGTTAAAATTCCTTTTGTTAGGGGGAAAAGATGTCCTGAGCTAATTCCATGCCCTATGACACTTTCTGTCCCATTGTCTTCCTGGCCCAGCAAACCTTTGTTTGCCACAACACGTGTGGGCCCCGCACATGTCTACAGCAGAGTCACTCTTTGTGCCCTCTGTTCTGGCAAGGCCAGAGCTCTGCTCACATCCTTTATCTAATCTAGCAGTTCTGTGACAAAATGGCAAACCATAACCCCGAAGCAAACCTGGCCAGAGAAAACACCTTGTTCATAAACCCACATCACTACCTAAGAGAAAGAGTCCTAATGAAAAATTCTGACCTTGACTCACCAGTGACCTAGGTTTAAAGTAAACTGAGCATCAGAATCCCCTGGAGGGGCTTTAACCAGGATGGGCACCTTCCCTGCTCCATTCAGTATGTAGGGGTGAGGCCCGGGACTTTGCATCACAAACAAGTTCCCAGGTGATGCTACTGGCTGACCCTGAACAACCTGTGATAAAAGCACTAATTTAAGGTCACCACAGCTGCTGAGATAAACATAGTAATCCTCATAAAAGGACTCCACCCAGAAATGCAGTTATCTTGCATAGTAAGTATTTGTGTGCATTAGAAAAACAATTCGTTTTCCTATGGGGAGAGGCTGAGGTTTCCAAGAACAACACTGTGCTTTACTAGTTATTTCATTATGACTAAAGTGGGAGCAGGAACTCTTTTTTTTGAAGAATGTAGGTGGTTTTTGAAATACCGGATGGTGTCGTTTATATGCGGAATATAGAGAAACAAAGCAAAGGGTCAGATAAAACCAAGCCAATAACAAAACCCAAAAATCTGACTAGAATTGAGGTTGCCAGAGGGGGAGCGAGAAGGGAGACCCAGCTGGGGAGGGGGTACCATGGACGGTGGTGGAGGATGAGAGGTGCTCTGGTGGTGACATATATCTGAACCTCTACATCATATACAGTGTTGTGAATCAATGTTACCTCAATAAATTTAATAGGTAAATAATTAAAAAATAATGTCTTTTTTCAAAATTTTAACTTTGCTCTCCAGGGTCCCTCATAAGCAAGTTGAAACATTTTCTGTAAACTGCTGGTTCTGAGTTATTTCAGAAAGATCCATATTCTCTCAGTACCAGCCATTTTCAGTGCACACTGGAGTCTCTCCTGACATCAGTCCAGTGCTCCTGTTAGGGGGAAAGGATGTCCTGAAATAATCTCATACAGGCTTTGTGGACTCCACCCCCACTCCAGACTAAAGCCATCAGGACATTGGGAAAGACAAATCCCATCACCACCAAGGGGAGGGTGGCTGGGACCTGAGGGTGGAGTTGGGCAGCCAGGTTGGATATAAAAACCAAACACGTGGGCCTTGGGCTCTCTCTGGCTCGCGATCACTCGCCTCCTGGCTTCACGGCTCCTGGCTGGCGGCCAGCTCTCAGAGCGCCATTTTGGGATTCCTGATCGGCGGATCGGGTAGGACTCATTTAAAACTTTGTCTCCCACTTTTCTCCCAGAGCTGTACATTTCCTCATTTCCCTTTCCCTTGTAAATAAACCTTTTATTAACCTTTCACGTGTGCCTGCAGTAGAGCATTAATAAGTCCTTTTAAGCGCGCGGGTGAGGACCCACAGTCAGGCACCCCGTTTTGTATCGGGGTTGCTCTACAACAGTTTGGCGCCCAGCGTGGTTTCCAAGTTACACCCGCGGTGGACCAGCCCAAAGTAACATTCCTTGCGTTTTGTATCGGGGTTGCTCTACAACACTCCTTTTTCATACCGTATTATACTGTCTCCTCGGAATGCCTCATGGTTTTGCCCAGATAGGAGACTTGGCAACAGCCACTTCCAGACCAGCACTTTCTTCAGCTCATGCCCAGGCAAATGGGCCCTATTAAGGTTTGACTCTGGCCACTCACAGAAAAAATGCACCTAAGTCTGGTGACAGGCTGGGCTTTCTGAACAGGTCTCCTCATTGATTTTTCAATTCTTTCAAATTTCTGGGGCTTTTTTTTTTTTTGAGGTAACATTGGTTGACAACAATGTTTCAACATTCAGAGGCACAGGAACCCCCCTAGGTGCCTCCTCCACCACAGACCACTGGGCCTCTCCACATGGTGTCCCTGCCCCTCCCCAATTCCACACCAATTAGGCTTTTTTTTTTTTTTAAAGATTTATTTATTTATTTATACAAACACTGGGTACAGTCAGAAGTGCGGGAGGATGAGAGGATTCACCAGAGCCAGAGCGGGGAGCAGAGCAGGCAGAAGTGTTAGGGGGAAGTGATGTCCTGAGTCAATCCCATACAGGCTTTGTGGACTCCACCCCCACTCCAGACTAAAGCCATCAAGACTCTGGGAAAGACAAATCCCATCACCACCAAGGGAGGGTGGCTGGGACCTGAGGGTGGAGTTGGGCAGCCAGGTTGGATATAAAAAACCAAACACGTGGGCCTTGGGCTCTCTCTGGCTCGCGATCACTCGCCTCCTGGCTTCACGGCTCCTGGCTGGCGGCCAGCTCTCAGAGCGCCATTTTGGGATTCCTGATCGGCGGATTGGGTAGGACTCATTTAAAACTTTGTCTCTCACTTTTCTCCCAGAGCTGTACATTTCCTCATTTCCCTTTCCCTTGTAAATAAACCTTTTATTAACCTTTCACGTGTGCCTGCAGTAGAGCATTGATGTCCTTTTAAGCGCGCGGGTGAGGACCCACAGTCAGGCACCCCGTTTTGTATCGGGGTTGCTCTACAACAGAAGGACCAAAGTACACTGCTGAGGGGAGCAGCGGGCGGCAGGAGAGGTCTGCGCACCATGTGGGACCCTCGCCCGGTGGCTGGGGATTGAACCAGTGCTGCAGAGGCTGCGGGCAGCTTCTCAACCCAACACTCAACCGCTGCGCCACCAGGGAGGCCCCAATTAGGCTTTTTTTAAAAGATCAAGAAAGTGCTTTTTATTCTAGGTTACCCCAGTGTAAGGTAAGGTAAAAAGTATCAGACTTTTCTGCCCTTCTGCCATTAGGCATGCATGCCTAGGGTGTGGGCATATGTAGATGGGATTCACCTGGGCTAAGACTGGGCTTATAAGGGAGGGGTCACGGGGACGCCAGCAGAGAGAACCACGAGAGAGCAGAGAATGAACACAAGAGCAGAGAAGCCAAGAGAACACGAGAGCCCAGAAAGCCAGAGAGCCCAGAAAGAGTGAAGACCTGCTGTGGGCTGAGAGGCCTGCCAGCCTCACGGCCCCCGGCCCCCTAGCACCCCTACTTGCTGTGTACCTGGTAAATCCTGAAAAGCCACCAAGGCCTCCAGGACTCTCTCCTCCTTTATTCTGCCTGCTCAGATAATAGAGAAACTGCACTGTGCCCATTCCTGCCGCTACACCCAGTCACGTGCCAACTGTAAAAGATAACCCCTCCCCTAGGAGATAAAAATCTCTCCTGAGAAGAGACTTCGTGTGAGGGATGGGCAATGATGCAAAGCACAGCTCTGAGAATGGGTTATCGGCAGCAGGGCGGCACTGAGGGGTCAAAGCCGCCAAGGCTGGACCAGAGGCTTCTGAATGCAGCGAGCCTGGAGGCTGCCGGCTGCTCTCAGTGACAAAGAAGGAATCCAGCCTCTAGGCCTGTGGATTGGCCACCATAGTCTCTTAGTGGGGGCCTGTGTGACAGACACGCAGGGGTCTCCTTCTAGGAGGTGGACACTGGACCATGTGCGGGGACCATGGCCAGGGACCCGGACCCATTTAGGGGGTTCCCATGAGGCTCACGAGTCTAAATGGCCTGGAGTCGTGCGTAAGAGCATTCTGGGGAAGGTAAGACGCGTTGTCCTCACCAGCTCTAAAAAAGCCCAAGTGACCTTATACTGGATGTGAACTTCTGGTCGATGGAAGAAGAATGTAAAAACAGATACCCAGAAAAGTCACAAGTGAGAGGGTGATGGCAGCATCACCAGAAAAAAGCTCTGCAAACCCATCTGCTGTGGCCAGGGCCCGGTCTTCGGGGAGGCACTGAGTCACATTGTAGGAAAGAAAACTGGTAAGTGACTCAGTTTTCACCATGCCTTGGACATGATACATCTTTGTAGGATGAGAAAACAGGAGTGCTCAAAAGCAAGCACTAGGCAGGGGGGGCGGGAGGGGAAGGATTGGGGTCAGAATGGGGCGTTTGCAATTGTATGGGGGAATATAAAAATAAAATTTAATATTTAAAAAAAAATAAATAAATAAATTCACATAAAAAAAAAAAAAAAAAGCAAGCACTAGGTAAAGGTAGGACAAAAACAGATGCATGGGGAGCATTAACTGATCTCAGAGGGCCCTTCCAATCTAGAAGCTCCTAGAGAGCTCCAGATCTCAGTATCCAGGCTGATGTCTGGATGTGATCCTATTTTTCCCCTTAATAAAACATGGAACTATTTCAACTGACCTGTCATTACAATGAATCCACATATATGTCGAATTCATTACTAGATAAACGTTGCACCTCATATTCAGAGTCATCAGTTTCTGTACAAAGATTTACAAGTCTCAAGGTCTGTGGTTTTTCCCCAAATTAAGAGCAGAATCTGGTTCTTGGTGAATTTCTCCCAAGACTGCACACCGGGGCCTCGTCCTACGTCCGACCCCAGCCCACCTGGCCCCTCCTGGACCACGCACCTGTGAGGATGGTCCTCCGCTTGCACTGCTCCTCCACCCCGCCCTGCCGCTTGCCAGTCTGAGTGAAGGGCATCTCAAACATGAAACGGCGGATGTTATGGCATCTTTCGAACTCTGTTTTCCTTTCTTGCAATTCTTTTTCATCAAAGAATGGGGTCACGTGAGTCACCTGGATATACGCATACTTGGAATCCAGATCCTTGGGGTTGACCTATAAATGAACAAAGGAAGAGAACGTGGTTTGTATTTGAAGGACTCTCTCCAGCCACACCTAAGCTGTACTTTTTGGGTCCATTTTAGTAAAGTTTAAATTTTTCAGAAAAGTTGGAAAAAATAGTGCAATGAACACCTACACACCTGAGATTTAGAACAACTGTCAACATCTTGCTGTATTTGTTTTAAATATGCCCCCACCTATACATGTGTCAGTTATACACATGCACATAAATACACGTGTTGTCTACACACATGCACATATACATGTTAGCTACACACACACACACACTTAACACATGGGCATAGAGACTTTTTTTGTAGTTGAACCATTTTGTTTATATTATGACATCTGAGCCAGCATCTCCTAAAAATGAGGACATTATCCTCTGTAACCACAATACATCATCAACCCTAACAACATTAATGCCAACTGCCCAATGCACCCAATACCCTATTATGATAGGGTCTTTGTGAAACCTTCTCGAGTGTCCCCAGGTTATTTATAGCAATTTGTGTTAGAGCCAGAATCTAATCAATGATCACATTTTGCATTTAGGTGTTATGTCTTGTTTAATGTAGAATTCCTCATTTTTCCCTAAACATTGGATTTTTTGGAATACATTATACTAATTTTCTTGTCAAAACTTTCTGGATTTCTCTGATTGTTTCCCAAGTTGTATTTTCAACTTATTTGGGTTTAGAGAGAAAAATATTTTAGTAGTAATGCTTAAAATCTGGACCCCTAAATTATAATTAACCTATAGACAGATTAGATGTCAACAGATGTAAATGAATTAATTTAACACAGGTGCATATTAATCTAACCAGAAGGTTAGCTTCTTATTAATTCAGCACATAAATGCTTTTAAAACTATAATGCCAGAATTAGAATTAGCTGCAACCTTTATAACATGATAGCAAATTAAAATAGGCATTTCCTACATAGAAACAAGAGCTAATTTATTAGGCAGACAAATCAATTTTGTGCATGTAATTGTGCTGAAGATTCTAGAGCAACAGAAAGGGACATAGGAGAAATGTCTTGCAGGGGTCTTAGAGACTATCTGGAAGCAGAGGGAAAACAAGTGAGGACAAGAGGGTCTCACATGATCATGCATCACTATTAACAGGTATTTGGGAAGAAAAGTGAAAACTAGATGTAAAAATGCTTTAAAAATTGGATGTAGGAAAAATATAAAAAATAAAAAAGTAAAAATCAAAACCAACAAGCAACTATAAACCAGAGACATACTATGAGGTGGGGGGTGGAGGAGGGAGTAGGATCAAAACAAGGTGGGTGGGAATTGTATGGGGACTATAACCAAGATGAAAATGCATACATTGTGCAAAAATGAAAAATGGTGTAAAAAATATATAAAATAAAAAATAATAAATAAAAACTGGAAGTTAAGAAAGTAAAGTCAAGAAGTTATTATTTCTACTTTCCAAAAAGCCACCTGGTCAATCATTATAAATGCATTCAAACTTATTAAACTTAACTTTCTTTCACAATAAAACTTAAAATCAGCAGACATGAACATTTTTGCCCATTTTTCAGTGGTATTTCCCTTGTCTTCATTTCCCAAGTTGTCAGCATGTCTCAGCAGATGGAAGAGAGCTGGCAAACAGTCTGGGGGGAGAGAAGTTCTGGGAACTCAGCTGCTATTGCAAGGGCCACACATTTAAATGGGAAGAAGAACAGATGGGAATCTTGAGAGAAGGTTATCATGTCAAAGCTGTGACTTGACTCAGACACAGTTTTAGTCTAAGAGAAAAAGGGCAAATTGACCCTAAGTATATTGGTTTGGGAAAGTAAAATTGCGTTGCAGTTTCTGATCCATTTTAACTCTGTTAAAATGACATACAGAACTAACTGGAAAGGACCAGGAAGAGGAAAGAAGATAGCAGTGAGTGGGAGGTATTAATGGATTTCTGGAAGCAGATGCAAGAATGCTGATGTGGCAGAGGAGACTGGGCTCCATCCGAGGTTCCCACGGAGAAGGCTAACAAGCTGGCCAGTTATCCCTCAGATGCCTGGAGCTCTAGACTGAATGTCTGTGTCCCCAAATTCATGTGTTCAAATCTTAACCCCCAAGGGAATGGTACTAGGTGATGGGTGGTGATTAGGTCATGAGGGTGGAACCCCCCTTAAATGGGGTTAATGTCTGTATGAAAGGGACCCCACAGGGCAAACTGGCATATAATCAAAACAGTATTTTACTACTATGAAACATTTCCAAACACAGTCATACCTTGCCAGAATCCTGTATCATTTTGACATTTTCAGAACCAAATTTAGCTGAGTAAAGTTTAAGGAGTCTCTGAGAAATTTCTGACAAAGGCGTGAGTTTGGGTTCTTTGTAAATATACTCCTTTCCATCTTCATCTTCAAAGAATCCCTGTGACACAAAGTGCAATTAGAGGTATACTCAAACCTAAGTGCAAGGCTAACTACCAGGAAGGATTCTTTTATTATAAGGGTTAAAAAAAAGTAATGATTCTAAAATAAAATCCTACTAAAACAGGCTTTCCAAACAGAAAGGAAAATGGTAATAATGTGATGTCTGGGTGCAAAGATAAAGAAAAAACACAAAATTGCAAACTCGTTCAAGAATGCTGTCATTAAGTGTTGAGTGAAATGAATTCAAGCCTGTTTCACATTCCCAAGAAGTAAAACTTAGGACCACGGGACTCAGCAGGCTGCTCATGGCTGGTCTCAGAAATGCAGGCCTGTCCCTCCTCCTAGCCACTCCCATTTACATGGGATTTTACAGCATAAACTGAAGCATCCAGGTCTGGAGTGAGTTCAGCAAAGGTTATGTAATGTTTGGGTACATTCTACTGTGCTTTGCTGATGAGAAAAACATCATAATATCAGAAAATACTTTCATTATCACCAGTCAGCATTTGTTTTAGAAGCAATCACGTCTGAAATTCAACAAGGCTTCAAACTGCATGGGAAGTGAAAAAGGTTGAAAATTTAAAAGTTCAGAGTTGGGTTAATATTTGAAACAAATTTAAAAATGTTTCTCATTGAAAAAGAAAACAGTACAAAAACAGTATCTAAAAATGCAGGCTAACACGAAATAAAAAACACCCACATCAAACTAGGAGTTTAAATGCAGCCATTTCACTATATTACTTGCTTTTTAAGCATTTACTGTAATTACCTCCACATCTGTTTCACTGTCTGTAAACTGGTATTGCTATAAAGTTATAAAAGACAATAACAGAATAAATTGAAGGTTATATAATGCTCACAGAAAACCACACACCCTAAGTAAATGGATTATAACTTATAGCATCTAATCATGTTAGAGACTTGAAGGTTAAACTTTCAGTTAAATTTAAATGGACCCTTTCATCTAGGGTTTCTGAAATATTACAGTGGAAAATGAACTTGTGGAGCTATTATATTATCAAAGATAAAGATGCACAGGGGACAAAGAAAACCAGAGAGTCTTAATATTGGTTTAAAACATGCAGTCTAGATGTTCAAAAAAAACCAGATGATTTATTTCTGTAAATGGAATAAAATGTTAATTTTTGGAGTTGGTAATGATGGGACAAATAGACATACAACTTGAAAAGGAAACTTGCCAACCACATTGAAGTACCAAAAAGGCCACTAAGAATGTCTTATGGAGGGAGAACTTACCGCTGCCTTAAGAAAGTAATAAAGAAAAGACAGGAAGAAAGAAAAAAAGCAGAAAGTTTACTACTGAGGAAGATAAGAATCATCTGAAATATGACAAATTCATCAAATTAGCATTTATAGAGAATAGAAACTTGACAAAATACAACCTTTATAGTAAAAAAAAAAAAAAAAAAAAGACCTTGGGACAAGCTCCAGGCCAGAGGGAGGCTCACCTGTCCGAAGAAGGCCACTCGGAAGTATGTGCCCAGAAGCCTGCGTCCTGAGTGCATGACCTCGGTCACCTTGCTGTAGGCCCGGTGGAGGGTGTCATACAGGTGAGCCAGCCTCTGGAAAGCAGAACAAAACCCAGTTCTCCTCACTGGCGACTAGTGTTTTACAATAACAATTACATGAGATCATGTAGGGAAATTTCTTTGCATAGTTCAAAAAAATCAAGACTGTATTTTGACTGCAGAACTGGGCTGGCAGCCATCAGTTCTGTATTGTCATGCTTCCTCCCCAAAAGGCCATCGTGCTTACTGGGGACCCACCAGGTCACCACACTGCATAAGCAAATCCTGTTTTCCAGTGGACATGAAGTGTCGGGGTGGTACAGTCTTATGTTGCCACTTTTAGCACTGGTTCTTCCTACTGCACTTGAGAGGTGAAAAGAAACTGGACAGCCTCTCTGTGCCAGGACCGAATTCCTAGCTCTTGTCAGGGCTGAGGGTCTGCACACAGCTGGGGGCCCATGGGCCATTGTGTGATGGCTCTGAGGGTGGTGCCCGCTAGTGGGGAAGGTTGGAGGGTAGAAGGTTGGAGACCATGGCTCCCCACTGACCCTGGCCTGCTTGTTCTCTTTGCAGGCAAGAAGGCCTGGGGATGTAGGTCATTTCATTGTCCCTTCAAACTAGGAGAGAACAAACCCACTCAGGTACCTCAAAGTCCCTCCGCTTCTCATAAATGGGGATGATGAGCTTATAGATGTCGGCGATCAGCTCGTAGCGTTCAGCCTTCCAGAGCCCGTCCGCGCACTGTTCCAGCAGCTCCATGAGCACATCCTGGGCAGAGAGAAGGCCCCACCCGGCCAGAAAACAGGGTTATGGGGAGCTTGGCACTGCACCCTTGCAGAATAAATAACTGGTTAAGACACCGCGGAGGAGAATTTCAAAGTACAAGGTAATTTAAACACGAATTTCTATGCTTGTTACAACTTATCATGTTCTTTCTTAAGGGGCCATTTTCTCAACCAGTAGTGGAGGGAGACACTGTCGTTGTTTAATTGCATGGGAAAGACAGCCATGGAGAGCGCCCACACAAACTCTGAGCTTTTGTTCTTCTGTTTTTATAAACATAATGTAGAAATTTCTTTTTCTTTTCTGAAGAACAATGATGTGGAGACATGGAGTCAGTAAGCACCCACATTTTTAAAATTATCTCAGAGCGGGGGCTTCCCTGGTGGCCTCCCTGGTTAAGTCTCAGCACTATGAAGCTATCGGCAACCACTGTAGCATGAGTTTGATCCCCAACCAGGGAGCTGACCCACTTGGTGCAGCAGACCTCTCCTGTGGATTTCATTCAATCTGTCTGTTCTGCTCCCCACTCTGTCTCTGGTGAATCCTCTCACCCCCCACACCTCTGGTCTGCATCCCAGTTCTTGTATGCATATATTTTTTAAATGCTTTCTTTCTTTCTCTCTCTCTTTCCTTTTTAAAGATTTTATTTATTTATACAAGAACCGGGGTACAGGCCAGAGGTGCGGGATGGGGAGAGGATTCACCGGAGACAGTGGGGAGCAGAACAGGCAGAATGATGGATATACACTGCTGAGTGGAGCAGCAGGTGAGACAGGAGAGGTCTGCCTCGCCATGAGGGTTGCTCCGTTGGCTGGCGGGGATCAAACTGGCACTGCAGAGGCTGTGGACAGCTTTACAGTGCTGTGCTCAACTGCCTGTGCCACCAGGGAGGCCCTAAATAAATCTTAAAAAACATTATCTCAGAGCAATTTAGTGATGGCATGTGGTAGAGGCGCCAATGCCTTCCTTGGGAACGTCTACCTTTTGCCTTGGGGAAATCCCTTGAACTTAAGAGGAAGCAATCACTACCCCTGATTCAAAGGCAGAGGGTATGGGGTTCTAGTTTAGATTAATCAGCCCAAATCTACTTCCTGGCTAAGTTACGCTTCATCACTGGTGCACACGTGGCCTAAGCAAGCCACGGGGGAGAATTAGGACGGTGGCTTGGATGCTGGGTCAGAGCTGCTCTAGCAAGGCTGCAGCTAAGAGAGGCAGCAGGTAGCTTGACTGGGGCTGGCTGCGGGGGGGCCTGTCTCAGTAACAATGGAGCGCCCCTCTCCCGCCCAGAGCAACTGCATCAGTGATAACTCGGTTACATGTTCAGGCTGACTGGTATCAATCTGAGGGTTAATTTCCTGAATGTTCATGGGAGCCATCTGAGTGGTGTTTCATGAATGATGGTGAGTAAATTTTTTTCTGTGCTTATTTGTCATCTGTAGAGTTTTGGTGAAATATCTATTCAAATTTTTGGCTCATTTTTCTATGAGGTTATTTTCTTATTATTGGGTTTTGAGAGTTCTTTATACATTTTGTATTAAAGATTTTTATCAGGCATCTGATTTGTAATTTTCTCCCACTCTGTATTTTGTGTCTGGATTTTCTTAACAGTGTTTTAGAAAAGCAGATGTTTTTAATTTTGATGAAGTCTGATTTATCAAGTTTTTTTTTTTCTGGATTATGCTTTTTTTTTAATCTAAGAAATATTTACTTAACCCAAGTCCTCAAGGATTTCCTCCACTTCTATCTCCCAGAAGTCCTGTAGTTCTACATTTAAGTCTATGATCCACTGATTTATTTTTTATTATTGTGTCGAATACAGGTCAATGTTCTTTTAAGTCTTTCAATATGAATGTCCAATTGTTCCAACACCATTTAATGAAAGACTATCTTTTGTCCACTGAATTGCCTTTGGTCCTTTGTCAAAAATAAACTGACCATATGTGCCAGGGACTATTTCTAACTTCTCTCTTTTGTTCTGTTGATATATGAGTCTGTCCTGTGCTAGTGGCCTACTATCTTAACCATTACAGAGCTTTGTTGAAGAATTTGTCCATAAAGACACTACTGACATTCTAGATAAGGAAGCTCTTTGTTCTGGGAACTGTCCTGCCATGATGGACTGTTTAAAGCACCCTTGCTCACTGCACACTAGATGCCAGCATAGTAATGATTACTCCCCTTCCCTCCCTGCAACCTTGACATTAAAGAGAAGTTTCCAGACACACCGCATATCCCTGGGGAAGGGGAGGGGAGGTTGTTCTCAGTTGGGAACCACTGCCTGTAGCAATCTTGAAATCAGGTGTTAAGACTATTCCAAGTTTTCAGAAGCTGTTTTGGCTAGTCTAGTTCCTTTGCTTTTCTATATAAATGTTAGAATCAGTATGTCAATTTCTACTAAACTCCAAAAGGGAGTTTGATCTGGGTTGCTTCAAATCTATAAATCAATCTGGGAATAAGGGGCCTCTTAACAATACTGAATCATCCAGGCTATTTATTTCGGTATTGTTTGCTTTCTTTCTTCAATGTTTTCTAGCTTTTAGCATCCAGATCAATAGGGACCGACACTGAGGTTTTCTTGGATTTTTGATGCTATTGTAAACTACTGTCTTTACATCTTGGTTTTTCCTTCCAAGGAAAGTGCTTTGTTTGAATAAGAGTGAAATTCATTCAATATTTTGCTCGTAGGAATTATACAATAATTATTAACAATACATAGCAAAGCTCTGCTATAAGAATCTTTAAATGGGAACAAGGTTGACTGATTCTTATATATTGACTTTCTAATGCGATCTTGGTAAACTCCCTTAATAGTTTTAGTAGCATCTTTTGTAAATTCCTTGACTTTTTCTCTGTCTTAAACGACAACTGTCTTATGTGAATAGAGATAGTTTTATTTCTTTTTTGTTCCTTACTACACCGGCTAGCGCCTAGAACAATGATGAACAGGAGCAGTGAAAGCAGACATGCTTGCCTTATTCCCAATTTTAGAAAGCTTTCAGCCTTTCACCACTGAGTTTAATGAACGGTGAGATGTAGGAACTTTCTTTTGAAGAAATTTCTCCTTCTAGTTTTTTAAATTTTATTTTTTGGTCATAAATGGATATTGAATTTTTTCAAATGATTTTTCTGCATCTACTGAGATAGTCATAGGGCTTTTCTTTTTTATTCTCTTAAATGGATAAATTACACTGATGACTTTTTCAATGTGGACCCAAGAGCACATTCCCAGGACATGTCCCACCTGGTCACGGTACATTTCTCCTGCTTACATGTTGTAGATTCAATTTGTTAACATATATATTTCAAGGTTTTTAGAGTTGCTTTTTACCATGTCTGGCTCCTCCAATAAAACTGTAAATAGAAGGTAGAACCTCTGTTTTCATAACTGGCTTTATATTTCATTATAGGCCTAATGCCTTAGACCCAAAGAAAATAAACATTTTTAAAACATTTGGAAATCAATTTACCAGAAAATACTATCTGACTTAAAAATTTTTTTAAAACAAGATAGTAAAAAGGGTTGCACCATTCAAACCTGGGATAATTTTTAAATTAAGTATAGTACTGGATTATGAACGGATGGGAGAAAATGCAAGGCATATAACTCCTTGTAAATGTCAGATTTACAACATACATATGATGAAATTGTCCTCTGTGTGACTGAACTCTGTACCAATGCTTTTAAAGACATCTCCAGCTGTCTCGTTCTTTTATTGCAGGTCTTATTAGGTGAGACATTAGAGCCTGAGAAACACGCTAATGCAGGACCGCTATAGACAAAGAAGAAATCACCAAAGGTTCTACACCACCTGACTCCCTTGTGCATCTGCATCGTGAAGATGCTCGCCTCTCTTAGATTTCTCCAATAGAGACTCCATCTATCTTGGCTAAGCCTGACAAATTTGTACGCTCCTCTGATGATAAAAAGAGAAAAGCACAACAAATAAATCTTGCCTAACAGTGTGAAAATGCTTTCTTCCCCATGTTTGTACAAACTGGGGAATGTAATAAAAGTCTGATTTAATTTGGGTTTGTGAGAATCAAATGAAATTTTACCTATCAAAATGCTCTGAAAACTGTTACTAAATAGTCATTCTCAGGCCAGTTAAACAAAGCTCTCTTACTTCAGTAGTTCCTTTCTGCTTGGTACTAACTTTGATGGGGTGACGCAATATCCCACATGCATAGTAGGCAGTCAAAAATCTCCCTGCATCTCCTCAGTACTGGCAATATCACTGGGTAGGAACTGCGGTCATGTGCTGCAGGGAAATGGGCCGGTGAAGGGTCCTGCAGCAGAGCCTGGAGTTTCTGGCATATCTTAGGTCAAAGACACAGCCACTGGGGGATGCCACTGGGGGATGCCCTGTCCCTCAAATGCCCGCCTCTTTTCCTTCCTAGTCCCACTCCCACCTTTCACCTCTGCCTAATTCCGCATCCTTTTTAAAGCTCAGTCATCACTTCCTGCAACCACCCATGGGCCCTTTTCCCTCGTCACTGGGTGGGCGCTCTCCTCTCTGTACCCCGATTCCCTGCAGGTGCTGTGGGGCTATCCTGGAGTTAGAAGAATTCTGAGAAGACACAATTTCCCATGACAGATGAGAACAGTGAACAGCCGAGGCATTCTTCTGATAACAAACAGCTAATGGTCATGGAACTCTGCCCACTTTCCCCAGCTATTCTTAGGTGTAACTTATAGACTATTCATCCAACTCTTTCCTGGGCTTTGTTCAAAGAGAAGTAAACTTTTGATAAAAAACTACCTTTGGTTCAACTGGTGCGGTATGGTCCACATAAATGTACAGTGAAGACACCTGTTTACTCTGGTTGAACAGACACCTCAAGAGTCTTAGTTCCATATCTCAGCAATGACAGCACAATAAGAACCTGGAGTAATTTTAATGCAATCTCATAGAAAACTGAAGTCTCCCAAAGATTGGTAAAAGTTATAATTCTGCATAATCATTACCACATCACTGATTTTTAAA